TGCCCTGTAGCTCTGTGCTAGGTCCTCTAAAGTGTTGAATTTACCCAAAGAATAAAAAAAAATTTTTTTTAAAGATTTTATTTATTTATTCATGAGAGACAGAGAGAGAGAGAGAGAGAGGCAGAGGGAGAAGCAGGCTCCCAAGGAGCAGGGAGCCCGATGCGGGACTCGATCCCAGGACCCTGGGATCATGACCTGAGCCGAAGGCAGACGCTTAACCATCTGAGCCACCCAGGTGCCCCAAGAATAAAATTTTTTAAAAAAATTGGCAGGGGTGCCTGGAGATATTCATATGGAGTGATGGCAAAAATGAATATTCTTTGTTACAGCTCTTGTGCTCAGTTAAGCTATTTGTAGATCTGGCTTTAGGTATGTCCCCATGACCTTGTGATCTTGTGGGGCATTCTGGATTATGGATCATGGTGTGGAAGGACCCAGAACAAAACAGTGTAGTGGTTGTCTCTGATTATGGAATTGTGGGTGTGCACTTTTCTCTTTTTATTGTTATTAGAAAATAGAGCTTTGCTTTACTTTCCTTACTCAGTTAGACCCTGAATTTCACAGAGGAAAAATTTACTACAGAGTCAGAGTTGGAGTTTTATTGGCCTGCATATTTTATGAGTACTGTGAGTCTTATAACTGACTGGGTTTCTCTCCAGAAATTCACAGTAATGTCTGTGGCCCAGTTTTAGCAAGTGTGCAGAATTCTATGGTGAGTGTCTTTTGCTAGCCTCATTCCTGGCTCTACTTTTTCTCTCTGTCCTTGTTTTTTCTTGATCTTTCTCACCTACTTCTAATTTATGTCATTTAATATTATTTCATGTATCTCTATCTTTTCTAGAACAAATTGTGGTGAAAGTAAGTAAAACAAATATTGGGTCAAAGAGTGTGAGCATCTTTCTGCTTCATGATGATTTTTTTTTTACCTTATTGCTTTCCAAAGCATCGAACAAATTTTTATTTAATCCATTATGTCCGTAAAGGAGCTTTTAAAAAATAAACAATTTTTTTGTGTGACTATGAAAGTATCATATTAGAATTGTAGAACATTTTAAAATAAGGATGAGTATAAAGAGGACAGTTGTCATTATGAGTTCTAGATTTTTCCTAACCTTTTATACCCACATTTTTAAAACTAATGAAATCATAATGTATGTGCAATTAATTTTGAATCTTTCTGTTTTCTCTTAAAAGTATATTAAAGCGTATTTGTTATTAAAGATGTCTTGTGGGGCACCTGGGTGGCTCAGTCGGTTGAGTGTCTGCTTTCAGCTCAGTTCATAATCCCAGGGTCCTGGGATCGAGTCCCGCATGGGGCTCCCTGCTCAGCGGGGAGCCTGCTTCTCCCTCTGCCTGCTGCTCCCCTTGCTTGTGCTCATGCTCACTCGCTCTCTCTCTCTGTCAAATAAATAAATAAATAAAAATCTTAAAAAAAGATGTCTTATGACATGATTACCAATAACCATAGAATAAAAATACCATAATTTACCTGTTTTTATTGTTGAACATTTAGATTGCTTTGATTCCTTTGCCATTTTAAATAGTATTGCAGTGAACATCATTATACAGATATCTTTGCCACAGTTTAGAAAGTATTTTCTAATGGCAGATCTCTAGAAGTAGAATAGCAGTAATTAAAGATGTAAATAAATAAATGATAAATAAAGGAGGGAACACAGGTGAATATTTTTAAAAGCTTGCAATGGGGACAGCCTTCTTATCCATGACACCCAAAAATATAAAGGGGAAAAAATGGCTGAATTAAAAATATATATACCTGGAAAACCCTTTGGAAATTATGATAAATGGCTATAAAGAACTTTCACAAATGAAGCAGACTTTTTTTTTTTTTTAATTTATTTGAGAGAGAATGAGAGAGAGTACATGAGAGGGGATAAGGTCAGAGGGAGAAACAGACTCCGCGCTGAGCAGGGAGTCCGACGTGGGACTCGATCCCGGGACTCCAGGATCGTGACCTGAGCCGAAGGCAGTCGCTTAACCAACCGAGCCACCCAGGCGCCCTGAAGCAGACTTTTAAAGACAATGAAAAGACAGTTAAAAAAGAGACCTCTCACAGAAGAAAAATCTGTAGCTAACAAATATTTCAAAGGATGTTCAACCCCAGTAGTCATTAAAGAAACAAAACAAAGATGATGTATTATTTTTTAATTACAGGTCCATCAAAGATAACCACTGGTGATGAGAATATGTGATAAGAATATAAGTTGATATATTTCTGGAAGCAGGCTGTTAATTAAAAATACATGTACCCTTGAGCACCTGGGTGGCTCAGTCAGTTGAGCGTCTACTCTTGATTTCAGCTCAGGTCGTGATCTCAGCGTTGTGGGATGGAGCCCCCACCTGTTTGGCCCTGTGCTGGGCATGGAACCTGCTTGGGATTCTCTCTCTCCCTCTCCCACCTTGTTACCACCCCCCCAACTCATGTGTGTGCACGTTCTCTTTCTCAAAAGGAAGAAAAGAAAACCACTAATAAATTATAAAGATCGAGCATTTTGTAAAAAAAAAAAAAAAAAAAAAAATACACCACACACATACTCTTTTATCCAGTAATTCAGTCTTTAGGAATTTGAGTTTTATCAAACAGATACCTGATGATGTTTACTACAGCATTGTTTATTGATTGAAAGATTGGCAACAACTTAAGTGAGGATTTGGTTTTGTTGTGATACATCTATCCAGTGGAATACTATATATGTGTTAAAAATAATCATGTGGATTTGAATTACAGAAAGATACTTAAAGAGCTGTTAAAGATTTAGAAAATATGAGTGAATGAATGGATATGCATAGAAAAAGTATGGAAAGATATAAACCATAATATTCATAGTATTTTTTCTCTATTTAGAGGGATTATGACTGATCTTTATTTTTTATTCCTGTATTTTTCCTGAAGTTTAAAAAAGAAATTTGTTTATTTGAGAGAGACAGAGCGTGCATGCATGTGCTAGTTGGGGGCGGGGCAGAGAGAGAGAGAATCCTCAGCAGACTCTGCACCAAGTGTGGAGCCCCACACAGAGCTCGATCCCACGACCCCGAGATCATGACTAGGGTTGAAACCACGAGTCGGACGCTTAACCAACTGAGCCACCCAGGCGCCCCTTTCCTGAAGTTTTAAAATAAGTATGTTTCACCTGAATAAGTAGAAGGGGGAAAAAAGCCAGTTCCCCCAAAGTAAAGTTGTTTACAGCAGAAACAAAACTTGTGTTTAATCATACTGCTCTTTGTAGTTAGCAAATACTGATTTCAAAGTTAGAAATGTTACCTAAACTATAATTTATGAAGTGGATTTGCAAAAGCATAATAAAGAGAAGTGATCAGTTGATACCATGTAACATTAGGAAGGCAAAAAGTAGAGCCCTCCATCAGTACATTTACAATGAAAATGAGTTGTGTTTGTCACACATCCAAGTTGCCCTTTTGTGGGCACATCATCATTGGCAGGTCCTCAGACAGAGCCTGTTGGGGGTGCTCTGTATGGTTTTGAAGAATGTCCCTTCCAACCCTCTTCTTGCTGCTGAGAAAACCTAGGCTCCAGGAGGCTTAGTGTCTCAGGAATCTGGTAGGGGCTAGGACTGCTCATGCACAGGCTTCTCCTCACCCAGCCTCAGAAGGAGACAGCAGCACCCTTATGCATGAAAATTCATCAGCAGTGATTTGTTCTTTGAATTTAAGCATTCCCCCCCCGCCCCCCACCAATTCTATCATGCTAATTCCTTTGGGGAGTCTTCTGATAAATCACAAATACTTAGGTTGCATGAATTTCCTCACCTCTTCCCACTCATACCCTCTATCATAGGGGAAGGTTCTGCATGGGATTTTGAAAAGGAGAAGAGATGCAGGAAGAGTTAACTGAGGTTCAGTCCGAGACAGTCCTTTAACTTCAAAATTTTGCTCAGACTGTGTGAGCACGGGTCTTGGGGAGGATGAAATCGCAATTTTCAATGCCAAAGATGTTCACAGCTTTTTCATTGATAGATGACTCTTGTTTATATATTTTTAAGATTTTCTTGGTGTCGTGGATTAAAATGGACTTTTGGCCTGAAAGAGTAAATTTATAAAATGTAGCTTGAACCATTTTTATTTTGACCTTTCATTTCCGAGAACTATGACTGTCATATAGTCTGTACCCTTATAGGGAAAAATGGTTTAGCTGAGACCCAACTTTAGTTTGGGCAAATTAGTGTGTAAAAATCTTTTTTTGGCATAAATTAATTTCATTTTTTTAACATTGGTTTTCATTATCAAAGTGCTGCAATCACATTTCAGAAAACTTAAATTCAAGAAAAGGGATGACTGATGTAAAACATTAAATGCTTAAAAAATGGGGGGGACAAAGAAAAGGGATGATATTAATATTTTTCTGCAGTACAATGACATTTTGGCATTATTTCCTTCTAGATTTTTTTTCTTATCACCTGAAATACAACATAGTTCCAAGCTTGTGGTTCTGGCAGAATGTGGCAGATGAGGCAAATCCTTTACTGTGTTCATCCAATCCAACTCCTAAATGAGCAGGTGCTCTCTTAACTCTTTTTGTTGGTCTCCCCTCTGCCTTTGGTAAAACTTGTCAGCATATGTAGCAGAAGGTGGAGACTTAATTTCTTTTAAAAGAAACATGGATTGCGATTTAGTAGCAATATCCTCTGTGGAATTATTCCGCTAAAAGCAATCCTCAAAGTTAAGCCTGGAGGAAATGGATCAAATGTTTCTAAACACATCCTGAGGGGTAGTTGAATTCCATTTCCTAAGGGTAGGAAAAAACCGCCCAACATTTCCTTTCTAGACCCTTGACTTTTTGAGCTGGGCCCTGGGGGCCTGGACGCATAATTTGGTCTTGGTAATTGATGCCTTTTGGCTGGTGTTTTGGTGGAAGGAGTGTGTTCTTGCCCCGTTTGGTTACTCAGAGAGCTTTTTTCCTTCTTTTCTGCCAGATATGCTACTATTCCCTTATGCTTATTTTGTTCCATTCTTATTTGCAGAGTACGCGAGTGGAGTTTGACCTGCCAGAATATTCTGTTCGTCGAAGGTACCAGGATTTTGACTGGCTGAGGAACAAACTGGAGGAATCCCAGCCTACTCATCTCATTCCCGTAGGTACTAAGTCATTATAGCTTGTTCCTCTCTTTTCCTGCGTTGTCTTTCCTGAGGATGTTCACTCAACTCTCACCCTTTACATTAGGGGCAGATTCTGCCTGACATTTTATACCACGTTTTCCCGTCAAATGTACATAAAACATTCTCATGGATACCGTCTAATCTATATCACCCTTGGGGTTTTGGTTTCTGGTTTGCTGTCATCATGCTGGTTTCTTGAGCGGCATGGGGGTAGGTTTTCACTTGCATTATGACAATTTTTTTGAGGTATGGAGAGTCCTAATTCTTATTTGCTGCCTCTTTAAAGACTGTTTCCCCCTTCTAGACACTGTTCTTGAGGTTTGGGTGGCTGCCACCAGGTGAAGAACAATGCCTCAGATTACAGCTGGCTGGGCTTTCTTTAGACACGGGCAATTCAGGGAACAGGAATCTAGCACACAACCCACTCAACCCCAGTTTTTCACTTAAAAAACCAAAAGCCATCTACCTCCATTTTCTGAAGCAGCATAATATTTATCTATTGCTCATATCTACACATTAAAAAAAAAAACCCAGAACTAGAGCAAATAAATTTAAAAGACCACTTAAACCAACATACATATTGAATGCTTTTTTGACTTTTTTTTCCCCCAGTAGAAATAATAACCGTTTAGACCCCAGATGTTTCTTTGGGCTTTGGGGGCATTGGTGCAGTTTAGGCCATAAAACTCTTTAGAGGGGCTTTATCTTTCAGAAGACCTTGGTTGAATAACTTCTTAGCACTTGCCAATCTTCACGTTACGAACGCATCTTCCAGTGCTCTTCTCCCACGGTTGGGCAAGGTTGAATATGCTGTGGTAGAAATGACGGGCCTGGGACTGGGGCTGCATTCTTTCTTGGGGGAAGAAACCCATCTTTACACAGTTGGAACTGTTCCTTAAACTAGAATTGCAATTTGGCAAAATTGGCAGCTAGTGAATTATTTTTTTTTAAATAGACGTTTTATTTGAGAACAGTTTTAGATTTCCAGAATTACTGTGAAGATAGTGCACTGAATCCTCATATACCCCACACCTGGTTTTGCTTGACATTTTACATTAGTGTGGCACATTTGTCACAGGTAATAAACCAGTAATGATCCCTTATTATTTGACTAAAAGTCCTTTATTCAGGTTTCCTCAGTTTCCTCATGTGCTTTTCCTGTTCTAGGATGTCACCTTCCATGTCTCCTTACTGGTTGTGATGGTTTCTCAGCCTTTCCTTGTTTTCGATGACTGACAGTTTTGAGGAGTACTCGTCAGGCATTTTGTAGACTGTCTCTCAGTTGAGATTTGTCTGATGTTTTCCTCATGATTAAACTGGGGTCATATGTTTTGGGAGGAAAAGTGCCATTCTCACCACATCATACGAAAGACACATACTATCAACAATATTTATCACCTTATTTGATATAATGCTTGTCGGGTTTCTCCACTGCACAGTTACTCTTTTCTCCTCTCCTGTTCCATGCTGTACTGTTTGGAAGGAAGTTGCTCTTTATGCTTAGCCCACCCTGTGCAGAAGGGGGAATTACGCTCCACCTGCTGGCAGCTAGTGTATTTGAAGTTTGGTTCGACAGCGACACCTGCTGGTTGCACTTATGCACGGGCACTGAAACCAGACCTGAAAGAGGATGGAAGTCTTTGGAATGTCGGGGAATGATCCCTAGTATCTTTAAGTATGGTTTCCTATGGTCAGGGTAGAAGCAGTGAGTAGGAAGGTATTCTAGAAGCAAGTGGAGACATAAATGTATTCAATAAATTCTTGGTACTGGTACATGTCTGGGTGGAGAGAGTTTTAATATAGGAGAGCATCTCTAACTCAAATACGAAAGTCAACCTGGAAACGAACGTTTTTTTCCCCTTCAGAAGTTATTCTGCAGCAACTTGGCTAGGAAGTATCTATCTGTTATTAAGCACTGACTTTGTGTTAGTCTTTATACTAGGCCTGGTGAGTACTGTTGGGGAGGTCAGCGGTCATAAGATGGACAAGGGACCCCTGCCTGGAAAGTTTATTTTCAGGTGGAGACCTAGTAGACATGCAACATAATTATTGTTTACATTTTCATTTCTCTATTTTAAAAAACAGCTTTATTAAGATATAATTCACTCACCAGACAGTTTGCCCCCTTAAAATATACAAGTCAAGGGCTTTTCTTATATTTAGTATCAGTATTTAGTATATTAGTATATGCTATTTCAGTATATATATTTGGTATATAAGTATTTTAATATATTTAGTATATAGAGTTGTGCATCCATCAGCACAATCAATTTTAGAACCTTTTCTCACCCCCAAAAGAAACCTCCCACTCCTTGCTTGTCGCTTCCAAACCTTCTATCTTTTCCAGCACCTGGCAACCGCTAATCTTTCTGTCTCTATAAATTTGCCTATTCAGAACATTTCATATAAAGTAGAGTCCTATGCTATACAGTCTTTTGTGACTGCATTTTTTTTTCACTTGGCATAATGTGTTTAAGGTTAATTCATGTTGTGTCATGTGTCAGTACTTTTGTTCCTTTTTCTTGTCAAATAATATTACATTTTATGGATATACCCCTTTCTGGTCTGTCTGCTCACATTTAATGGACGTTTGAATTGTTTTCACCTATTGGCTATTATGAGTAATGCGACTGTGACCATCCACGTGCAAATTTTTGTGTGGTCCTATGTTCTCATTTTTTCTTGAGTGTGTATAGACCTAGCAGTATCATTGACAGATCATACGTAACTGTTTATTTAACCTTGTGAGAAACTGTGAGGCTGTTTTCCAAAGTGGCTGCGTCATTTTACCATCCCACTGGCAGGGTATGAGGGTTCTAGTTTCTCCACGTCTTTACTAACACCGTGATTATCTGCCTCTTTGATTATAACCATCCCAGTGGGTATCTCATTGTGGTTTCGTTTTGCATTTCCCTGACAGCTAATGATGTTGAGCATTTTTTTATATGCTTGTTGGCCATCTGTCATCTTCCTTGGAGAAGTATCTCTTCAGATCCTTTATGCTGGGTTGTGTTTTTGTTATTAGTTCTTTATATAATCTAAATGCAAATCCCTTACTAGAGATACGACTTGCAAAAAATTTTCTCCCGGGTGCCTGGGTGGCTCAGTTGGTTAAGCGACTGCCTTCGGCTCAGGTCATGATCCTGGAGTCCCAGGATCAAGTCCCGCATCGGGCTCCTGCTCGGCGGGGAGTCTGCTTCTCCCTCTGACCCTCTTCCCTCTCATGCTCTCTATCTCTCATTCTCTCTCTCTCAAATAAATAAACAAAATCTTTAAAAAAAAAATTTTTTTTCTCCCAATTAATGAGTTGTCTCATTGCTTTCTTGATGGCGTCTCTTGGAAGTACAAAGGTTTTTAATTTTGATGAAGTCCAATTTATCTTTTTTTTCTTTTGCTGCTTGTGCTTAAGGGTGCCCTATTTAAGAAATCATCACCTAGTCCTAGGTCATGAAGATTTACACCTGTGTTTTCTTCTAAAAATTTTTTTTTTAACATTTTGTTTTCAAGTAATCTCTACACCCAATGTGGGGCTTGAACCCATGACCCCAAGATCAAGAGTCGCTCGCTCCACCGACTGAACCAGCCAGGTGCTCCTCTTTTAAAATTTTTATACAGTTTTAGCCCACACATTTCAGCTTTTCATCCATTTGAGTTCATTTTTGTACAGTAAGTTTTCCTTTAACCAGTGAGGCTGAATGTCTTCCCCTGAACTTATTGGACACTGACATTTCTTTTATGACTTACCTCTTCATTCTCTCTCTCTCTCTTTTTTTGTAAAAACTCCATATCTGCAAAGGAAGTTGACTTTTATCTTTTATATTTAAATCTAGCATTTGTTCTGATGCGAGATGGGAGGACCATACTTTTTTCAGGTGGTGAGTTGTGCCAGAACCACTTATGAGTAATCAATCATCTTTACCATCGTTTGTGCATCAGACCGAATCATACATTGGACTTGTGTATTCCTGGGCTTCTCCTGAACCCTTGGTTCATCAGTCTTTCTAATCTGTGCCCCTCATACACGATTTGAATGACTGTAACTTCATAGAACATCCGGTTGTACAGGTCCCCATCTCCGTCTCCACCTGCCAACATACTTTGTTTCCAGAGCTTTTCTAGCTCTTGGCACATGTTTTATTTTTCAAGATGAACTTTAGAGTCTTTTGAATTAGTTGAAAATTTTGGGAGAATGAGTTCCAATTATTTTGTTTTGTTTGTTTTTTGCCAACTCAAGTCAGCTACAGTTAAAAATGTGTGAGGATTCTGAGCTTGCAGATTCTGCTGCTTGTGTTAGAAAAGTGTGGAAATGAAGTGCCCCTTTTACCTGGGCTTCATTGGAACCATGTGAAGTTGTGAGTGAACAGCCAGCCAGACTGTGGTTCTGGGAAGGGACCCAGATGCTTTCATTTTCCTCTCCCCTGGCCGTCCTGAGGCCTGTTTCCAGCCCCTGTGGCTCTGAACTTGGCAGCTTCTGGGGCTGTACCGGGGAAACCCAGCCCTTTACTTCCTACACCAACCTTTCCTTTGCCTGAATTGAATCACAAGATGATCAGTATTGCTTGACTTTTCTCTCAGTTCAGTCTTTTCTGCTTTGTACCTTTAACAGATCCTGGCCTGTTTGATATTTTCTGTGTGCTGCACACCGTGATACTTTCTGATGCTGCAGCATATTTTTCTTTTTTCTTTTTATATTGCTTCATTGCTGCTCTGTAATTTGAAAAGCAGAAATGCTCGTATGTTCTTAAAATGCCATCTTACAACTAGAAGTGTGCTGGATGTGTATTTGTCATCTCATAATGACAATTCACTTCATCATCGAATAGTTGGAACCCCAAGAAAGTCTTCATTATGACATGGTTTTTGTTTTTTTCGTTTATTTTTTGGCGCACAGGTTGGTTTTAACACTACTTCTTTTGCTGGGGCACACCTCGTTAAAATAATAGGTATGTTTCATGATTTGATGGGCACAGGTAGA